CCCCAGCTGGTGCCAGAATGAGCATGGATTGTAGGGCCTCGAGACAGGAGTCAGTGACTTGGGTTAATAGCCAGGAACAGTGACTGGAGGAGAATGGGCCCACTGTGGCTTGACGTGGGGAGGGTCAGGAAGCATGAGAAGCTTCGAGACACGGGATTCCATGTTCTGGGGCCCAGACCTCCATTCGCTGCCTCTCATTGCCCTCCCTTTCAGGTGTGTGCAGGTGAGGGCCGGTCAGGAGTGGAGGGGTGAGGCTGGGGCCAGGGAGACTGTCCACCTTCCTCCCTTCACAGGCGAAGCTGGAGAAGGCCCAGCAAGTGCACAGCTCACCGAGGGCCCTCCTCTGCCCCTGAGTGAGAGTATAAACAACAGCAAATGTCGTGTCACCACCCATTTAGACTGGGCTCAAGCACATTCGTTCAACGGTCCAGTGACTGTCACACCACAGACAGGCCGCCCACCCTCATCCAGGAGAGGAAGTCTGGGACTGTTGGGGCCCAGTGATGGCATGATGGCAGTGTCAGTCAGGGGCAGCTCTGATCAAAGTGACAACAATGTCCTGACCCTGGTGGCCTAGGGGTTCTGGGGGCCTGCCTCCCAGAGACTCTGCCACAGAGAAACAAGGTGACAAGTCAAGGCATGAGAGGAAGCTCCTTAGAGGATGTGTCCCCCTCTCCCCCAAAAAGCTACATTGAAGTCCTCAGCCCCAGGACCTCAGAAGGTGACCTTATTTGGAGACAGGGCCGTGGCAGATGGACTTAGTTAAGATGAGGTCAAACTTGAGTAGGGTGGGCCCCTATTCCAGTGTGACTGGTGTCTGTATATGAGAAGACGGCCATGTAAAGACAGAGACACCCAAGGAGAAGGGAACGAGATGCTGGAGCAGAGCCTGGACGCACGCAGCTACAGGCCAAGCAAGGCCAACGATTGCCAGCAAACAGCCAGAAGCTAAGCAGAGGGGCCAGGAAGGATCCCCTTACAGAGGGAATCAGAGACAGTGTGGCCCTGCCGACACCTTGATTTTAGACTCCCAGCCTTCAGACCTGTGAGAGAATCAAGTCCTGTTGTTTTAAACCATCCAATGTGTGATACTTTGTTACAGCCGCCCTGCTGGCTAACGCAGAGGGGGAGGGGGCTCCGTTGGTGGGACATTTACAACCAGACCAGTCCTCGGGGGATGGGTGGGTGAAGTGAGGGCTGGCAGGGGATGAGGAGAGGGTGGGCAAATCTGGGGACGCAAAGTTGAGAGCCAGCGTGGGACAGAAAGCCAGGGATGGGAGCGTCGCCGAGAAGGAATCCAATCACAGTCTTAGAAATGTCAATGGTCTTTGTTACGGACTGAACTGTGTCGCCCCAATTCCCAAATTCAGCATTGAAGCTCTTACCTCTAGTGCAATTGTATTTGGAGATGGGGCCTTTAAAGAGGTAATTAAGGTTAAGCTAGGTCATAAGGGTGGGACCTAATCTGTGATGGTGTCCTTATAGGAAAAGAGAGACACCAGGATGTGCGTGCACAGAGAAAAGGCCACGTGAGCTCACAGCAAGAAAGCGACTATCTGAAGCCAAGGAGAGGCCTCAGGAGAAACCAGCCCTGCTGACACCTCGATCTTGGACTTCCAGCCTCTGAACTGAGAGAAATAAATCTCTGTTGTTGAAGCCCCGCAGAGTGCGGTAATGTCGTTATGGCCGCCTTCACTGACCAGGACAGCCTTAAAGTCCAGCTCGTCCTTCCACCCTCCAAGGCCTGAATTCCCTTATATCATGCACACCGAGTGGTCTCAACGTCTGCTCGTGCCTCTCAACGACCGGGAACTCTCTACCCCTGGAGGCGGCCCACTGCATCAAGGGGTGAGCCGTTAGAAAGTTCTGCCCTTTACTGGCACAAGTTGTCTGCCCCTGCAACCCCCACCCCTGGCTCCCGTTCCTCCCCGGGAGCCACATACAAGTTGGTTTCTTCTTCAGTCAGACGGTCCCCTAGATCAAGGTTGGCGAAACGTTTCTGGAAACTGCAAGACTGTAAATCTTTTCCGCTTTACGGGCCACACTGTCTCTGCTGCAAGTAGTCAGCTCTGTGGCTGTAACACAGAAGAAACCGTGGTCCGTATGTAAATGAGTGGGTGTGACTTTGTGCCAGTAAACTTGGTTGACAGTGACATTTGAATTTCCTAGCATTTCATGTATCATAAAATCTTCTGGTTTTTCCCCAATTAAAGAATTTAAAAACCATTTGGCGGGTTGGATATGGCCCACGAGACATAATTTACCAAGCCCAGCTCTAGATTCCTCAACATAGGATGGGGCCTTGGCTAAGTGTAACCCACTTCCTTTGTGTTCCTTGGATGCTCAGCCACACGTGGGGACCAGTATCATGGGAGGGGAGCGACTCTAGTTTTGTGTGTGGGGGGGTGGGGGACGGGATGTGCATACATGGGGTGGGAAGCGGGAAAGGGGCAGAGCTGGGTTTCCCAGATACAAGAGTCCAGGCGCCAGAGATCAATCCAGGGCCTCCAGTCACCAAGAATCTAAGGTAGAGATGGAGAGAGACGGGGGCTCCACAGCAAGACAAGATTTTTCTCTTTGACCAGCAAAAGGAAAACTGGGACAAAATCAGAATTAAGTGGAGACTTTGAAACTACAGCTTTGCTCTGGGGATGGTGACATGTGGGGATGGCCCCACATAAGGCCAAGGGGGTTCCCTTGCAAGGGGATCCCCATTTTATGAAAGACCTATGGCCTGAAAGAGTTGGGCAGCATTCAGTATGCAAATCCACATGCCCTTCAAAGAAGACGAGGTCAGGGCTCCTTGCTGAGTCTTCACCCTGTGGACTGGTCCATTTGGAAAGCCCGTGTATATACGGGTTTGCTAAAACTCGCTATTGGGCGCTGGGCACCTGCGTGCAGCTTTGATCAGACAGGTGCACACACACGATCTGTGCTGTGTGGATTGTATGGGATGGGTCACAGGCGAGGCTGGCATTTGTGACATAAAAACACACATACCACCTTCTTTTTTCCTTGCAAAAGATTCATCAATATAACCTCCTCCTAATACTTCACCAGGAGTAAAGATCGTAGCGGGCAGGGAAAGCAGTGGTTTGGATCTCCCTGGACTGAAATCTCTGTAGTTAAAGCTGCCCTCTAAACATTCAGGGTGGTGGAGCCGCAGAAGGGCGGCAGGGAGCAGCTGGAAGGCTGGTGCAGTCTGGCTGCAGCGGAAACCAAGTCAGGATGTGGGTGAAGAGAGAGAAGTCAAGAGTAGGTGACGTGGGCCCCGGGGATGGGCCCAGGGAGCACTGTGCGCAAGCAGAGAAGCCCCAAAGGAGCCGAGAAGGCTGGGCTTTCTTCCTGTACCCCTCAGGCCCGGTCCTTAACCTCAAGCTGGTGTTTGTGAAACCAATGGAAGAACCCCGCTGGGCCTTGCCAGAGGCTCTGGGTGGCCACGTTAGTTCATTCTAGGAACAAGAGAGGGAAGAGGGGCAGGCTGAAGTTCTGGGGGGCATTTCAATTTCAGGGGAGTGGCCCCTGCCTGCTTTGGCCTTCCTTATCTCCTTCTCCAACCTCAGATCCATGACAAAGACTGGAGTCTGCGGACCCTAGCAGTCCTGGTTGGATTAGAGAGAAGAAAGTCCCCAGGAGGCCGTGCAGCAGCGCTGAGGCAGACCCAGGCCCCGCCTGGAGTTGGTCCATGGGGTGACTCGTTCGGACATGGAGGCAGCCACTGACAAGAGCTCCCCAGCAACATCAGAGCAGCTGGGGCTTGTGCAAACGTGTGTAAAACGCCTCCAAGACACACAGATGTTGAGCTGAGAGCCACAGTGTGACAGATGTCCCCAGAAGAGAAACGTCCACTTAGGAACAGCCCCCATGGGGGCCTGGAGTCTCTGGTCCCCAGCAGGGGAGAGTGCTGGGAAGGTATTCAGGAAGGCCCTTCGTGAGGCACAGGGGTTTGCCCTTAGCCAGTGTCTCGGGAAGCATGACTGGTCTCACCGTTTTTCCCAGTTTGGAAGTGGGCTTGGCCCCCAGTGCATGAACCAGCCTGCGGGCCGCCCGAGGCGGGGAAGATCCCGTGTCTGGCCGGATGTCGAGTCTGAGCTTAGGCAGGGTTTCTGAAGTCTGAGTTACCCTCTCTGGGAGGGAGATGCCTGGATAAGGTAGTGACCAGAAGAAAACCAAGCCTGGGCAGTGCGCAAGGAGTACAGAGGGGCTGTGGGACGCCCTGGGCGTCGTGCCTGCTGCCCAGTGCCCAGCTACTGCCCTGCTGGGGAACAGGTTTCCCTTTGGCGCCAGGTCATGCGAATGGGGTCCAGGGTTTTGGGAACGTAAGACTTATAAGGTAAGGAATATCTGACAGAGGCTCCCCCAACACACTGCACTCCTGACCTGCTCCCGGCAACCTTGGTGTGGAACACTTGACCCCAGGGTGGTCGGGAAAAGCGGCTGCCCAGGTGGGGAGCGAGGGGAAGGGATGGAGGGCAGGGCACTGAGCATGCGCAGACAGACATCCAATGGGGAAGCCACTCTGGGCCTCTGCCTCAGGCTGGAGCTGAGAATGCAGAACCCCCGCAAAGAGCTGCCCTCCTCACCTCCCCAACAGGACTTCCTAAGGAGGAAGGGTGGGGGGATCCTTTGTAAACAGGACGCTGTTCATCTGCCAAATAACCCAACACACACACATCCCAGGGACCCGCATCCGTCACTGCGGCAGACAGTCTTAGCTGGTCTAGGTGCCAGAGCAGAGGGAGGGCAAAGGACTATCCTAGAACTTCCTCCCCAGAGCCCAGTCCTCGGGGTCCAGCCTACAGGGGTGTCATGGATGAAGGTGAGCTGTGAGGAGCCCCAGAAGTCATCTTGGCCAGGGAGCCACTGTGCTTTCCGAATGGCAGGGGGCGGGTGAGGCAGTGAGGCGAAAAGGGACAATGCCATCACAGAACAGAAGGCGGAAGTGAGGAGCCGTACCCCAGAGAGACCCAGAACTCAAAAGACATGCAAGACCATTTTGCTGCATTTCGGAGCTATGTGCAAAGGTGCCACAAACCGTGACAGGCGTGGGTTGGGGCCTCTGAGAACAGATGTTTACAAAGGAACAGCTGAGTCCCCCCCGGATCTTGGCCCGGCAGCCTCCACCATGTTGGTGCCCAGCTCTGCATCCCCATTCCATCTTCCCAGACAGGGCAGCTGGAACCCTCGACACAGACCAGACCAGCCGAGGAGCGCTCCAGAGCTGGGCCGGCCGGACTCCTGCTTGTCAAGGGGAATCGAGAGCAAAAGGCGGCACGCACGAAGACACACATGTACACACAGACCGGTCCTGTGAGCCTGCCCACGGGGGCCTCCTGCCCCAGTCTCCGTGGCCCAGGGGCTCCGCTTCCAGCCTGCAGCTCTCTTCTCCACGCTGTCCCCCGGGCCTCATGCATCAATTCCACGTCTCCCTGGCTGGTCCCGTTAAGTCCTGGCTCAGGGGTCGGGGGTCCCCAGCCCTGCCTGAGCCAAGGGGCACGCGTGGGGGGTGCAGGGAAGCTGCGAACTCTGTCGTGCAGCGCTCCCAGGCCAGCCGGGGCCGGTCCCCTCTGATGTGAGCCTCTGGCCTCCTGAGCTGGCAGAGGGCAGAGCAGCGAAGAAGAAGTGGCTCGTGAGCCGAGGCAGCTGAGCGCGGTCCCTTTGTCCGACGGTCACAGCCTGGAGCAGGGAAAGAAGGAAGAGATGGGAAGAGGTCACATGGATATGACAATGCCATCTTTGGTGAAGTGGCACCCTCTCAGAGGGCCAGGTGGTTTGAGATGAGCTGCTCCTGTCCTCTACAAGAAAAGGAGTTACTTCTATTTACTGAGGTCCTACTATGTGCAGGGCTCTGTGCTAAGTGCCACACATTCCTGATTTCATAGATGCCTGAGAATAGCCTGCAAGATAGGCACCCGTTTTACAGATGAGACAACAGAGGTTCAGAGAGGTTAAGTGTATTGCCCAGGGTGCACAGCCAGGAAACGGCAGGGTGAGGATTTGAACCTAGAACTCGTCCCCCTGGAGCATGTAGCTTCTGGACTGGGGATGGTCACCAGCGTGTGGCTGGGTTGAGGCCACGTGGTGCTGAAACACCAGTCTGCATGCCATGTAGAGCTGCTCAGGACACTCGCTAAGGAAGAGGGGGTGAGACCAGGATCTGTACCACAGACTCCTGCTATGAGCAGAGGCTTGGCTGACGACTGTCATGCCAGGATCTGGGCATCAGGGGCAGAAACTGGTGCTTACTCCTCCAGCACGGTTCTGGAAAGAGACCCAGAAGGTACACAGGTAATCCCTGCCTGGAAAGCAGGGTCAAGATCATGGATTTAGGGTCTAGGACAACCTGAATTCCAATAACTGCTCTGTTCCTTATTAGCTGTGTGACCTTTGGGAAGGCACTTAACCCCTCTGTGCCTTGGTTTTCTCATAAGTAAAACAGAGACAGTAATAGCACCTACCTCCTAGGGGGACTCTGAGGATTCAGTGAGATAATGCAGATGGAATGCTTGACACAGCACCTGTCACACATGTTTAATAAGTGGTACCCAGATGATGGAGATCATGCTGGTCGTCATGGTGATGATCTAGACCAGTGCTGTGCAATGGACATACAACGCAACCCCAAAGAATTGGAAGCAGGGAATCGAACAGATACTTCCACACTAATGCTCACTGCAGCATTATTTACAACAGCCAAAAGGAGCAGACCAACCAGATGTCCATCAACAGATGAATGGACAAACAGAATCCGGGGCTATCCATACGATGGAATATTACTCGGCCATACAAAGAAATTGATGTTCTAATATGTGCTACATGTGGATGAACCTTGAAAGCATGACAGAAAAGGACAAATATTGTGTGCTTCCACTTACATGGGATATCTAGCATAGGCAAATTCATAGAGACAGAACATAATGAGAGGCTACTAGGGGCTGTGGCCTAGGTCCCCACAACGTTCACTGAGTGGAGGGCCCTGGGGAAGCAGGTGTGGGACCACGTGGCCTCTTGGGGGCCTTCTGGTCATGAGAAAGCTTCTGAGAAGTTCTGTCACCCTTTGAATAAACCCCAGCCCCTCCCCTGGCCTGTAAGACCATGCTGACCTGGCCTCTGGCCACCCTTGGGACCTCATCTCCCTCCTGCTCGCCAGGTCCACCCACTTCCTTCCTATTCTCCCACCTCTGCGTGCTCACTCCCACCTGGACTCTCATTTCTCACGCAGGGGCCTTCTCAAGGGGCCTTCTCTGACCCGTTCCGTCCATCACCATCACACAGCCTGTCTTATTGTCTCTTCAATGATTACGATCTGAAATGATGGTCCTTTTAAAACATGTTTATCTGCTATTGTCCCCTATCTAGAACGTAAGCCCTATGAGGTCAGGGACTTTATTTATTTTGTCACTGTATTCTCACTCCATGATGGGGACAGACTGCTGGCCCAGAGGGGAGATTTCCTGAAAGCTAGGCCTTGTGGAGGGGTACACAGAATAGCTGACACATGTGGCATGGTAGGTAGGGCACAGCCTTGCCACATGACGCTCAGTGTCACTGAGGCATCGATCTTCATCAGGAAGAGACAGGCAAAGAGGTAGCCATGGTAGCCACAGGGACCAAGGCCCCGGATGGCAGAGTCTGGGACCCAAACCCCAGAGCAGACCCCGCTGAACAGAAACCTGGTGGGGAAGGTGGTGACTGGGGGAGGGAGGTGGGCGCATGGAAAGGAGAAGGCTGGCAGAGGAGTCAGGGGAGAGGGGAGCAAAAAGGTGACAAGGGCAGAGGACAGGGCAGTGGAGAGGGATGCTAAGGAAGAACACCTACTCTGCAGACTTCCAGAAATGTCCGGGGTGAGATAGGCGGCGGTTTCGCTTTGGCAGTTTCTCCAGCATGTCCATGAGCTTGGTGAAGGTAGGTCTTTCTTCTTGTTCAAAGGCCCAGCAGAAGAGAAGAATGTCCTAAAAGAAACCAACATGTGGTGAATGAACAGAAATGGTGACTTCTTGATTACTCCTTGGCACACCGCATTGGATCTGTCCATTTGTTACCCACTTACCCCACTTCCATATTCCTCCATCATCCATCCATCCACCCATCCATCCATCCACCCATCCATCCATCCACGTGTCCATTTCAATTCATGCATTTATCTTTCATCTATGATCCACCCATCCATCCTTGTATTCACCCCAATTTCTGAGCCTGTATAGCAAACTAGATAGGCCCTAAACTAGAAGGTCTGGGATACACTGAGATCAATAATGATCCCCAGGAGTTTTTCGGCATTTTTCTAAAAAGGGAGGGAGGAAAGGAAACCCTGAGATCTCTGTCCACATCCCAACCCTATAAGGGCTCTTCAAAGTCAAAGAGAGGAAAGCTACTCTTAGAATCTCCTCACCTGAGAGAGGAAACCTAGAGGCAAGTAATCCTTAAAAACATACAGATAATTACCCCTTCCCTGACTCATCTGTCTTCTGATCAAAAGAGAGGACTCTTCCTGCTGTGTTTTAGAGAACGATTATTAATTTATACTCAGGCTTCTCCATTTCTGTATATCTTGTTCTGAGTAAGACCTTAAAATTTTTATGTAGATGCAAATAAAATCAGAATCATTAGTATGGGTAATCTTCTAATGAATATCTTTAAAAAATAACAGAAAAAGAGGAATTCCCTGGTTCTATTTGACTCAGCCATCTATCGCTAGGAAAATCCTGGCCGAGTGCTACTGCACCTCTGATGGCAGGAACCTGAATTGCAGGCATAGTTCCGAGGTTTTGCTTGCTAAGCCCCAAACCAGGATCTGACAAGGTTGTGGGTGTGCTTCCTTGTCACCTTCTGGGAAAGCATTTGTAACCTGAACGCACAGGAGAAAGAAGGCTCAGAACTGTGTCTGCCTCTCCCCTTGTCCCCAGACCTGGCACTCTGCCGGGACTTACCGAGATCTCTTTCCCCATGCCGATCTGGCTGAGGTTGGGTTTCATGCCTGTGCCCATTTGCCAGATTATTGCCTCTGCTGGTTGGGTCTTGAAAGGCCACTCCCTGGCATGGAGTTCGTACCAGATTGTGCTGTTGGCAGACATTAAGGGGGTGTTGGTGTGATACGTCACTCATATCCCTCACCAACACACACCCACCCGGCCAGCCTGCTGACTGACCACCCCGCTCCCCAGTTTTTCCCTCCTGGGGCTGGCGTTCTGCCACCGGGATGCACTTAAAGCTTCTGGATATCTTGGAAGTCACGCTCTCCCCAGGACACCTTCTCAGGTGCCTGAATTGAAATGAATCAAAGCGTAGAACCTGAACAGTTTAATATAACGTGGCTAGGATCTCTGACCCTACATTTGTAATTCTAGGAAACCACCGTAAGGGAATAATTAGGGATACAGACAAAAATTCATTTACAAGGATGTTCTCTATTATCATCATCAGAAACAACACATTGAGCTTTTACTCCATGCTAGATGCCACTGTAGCCCCTTGCCTTGATTATGATTATGGGGGAGGCGTGTTACATGTGGCTTTTTATTCCGATGCTTTGACACCTGGGGCCTTGCTGAGTCTGGAGGGACTGCCCCTCCCCGGCTAGCCAATGCCTAGAGATAGGAGAGGACCCGCCCGGACTGTGCCTTTCATATGCAAACCAGCCAGCCCAGAGGCCCCTCCCCACCTCTCTATCAGGCTCTCACCCTTAGGGCCAATATTCCCTGTCCAGCTCAGGGCAGCCTCCAGCCCCGGAGCCCATTGACCTTAGTCATACTAGCCTACCCTAAGCCTGCTCACCCTGCCTCACCCATTCCTTCCTCAGGAAACCACAGCCAAGGCTCTTGCCCACATTTTCCTCCTTCTCCCTCTGCTTGCTGCCCAACCCTGGTGATTCCCTGTGTAGTCCTGCGTGGTATGACATGCCTCCTCCTTTTGGGCACTGTGAGTAACAAACCATCTTTTCAAGGGCATTGACTTCCCAATCTGTTGGCCTCATCACACCTGAATAATAACAAAGCCTACATTTGAAAACAGGAGGCACTGTTATTATCCCCATTTTACAGATGAGGAAACTGAGGCTCGGGAAGGTCATGGATCCCACCCAGGGTCACACAGCAAATAAGAGGTGCAGCGACAGCTGAATCCAGTTCGTCTGACTACAGAACGGCACCACGGGCCACTATGCTGTACTGGAAGCGCCCCCTCCATCCTGTTGAAGGGTCCTTCGTAATCGGGGCAGTGAACAGTTTGGGACGGCAACTCTGAAGCTGATGGTGGGGGCCCCATGAAGGAGGCACAGAGAGACGGCAGGCACCGCTCACGTGAGAGAGGGAGGGAGCCTCTCAGGAGCTTGGCCCTGGGCGGGGACCTTACAGGTGTTTCTCACGCACTCCTCGAACGCCTCGATGGGTCTTGAGGGAAGTAGAACTTTGCCTGGGGAAACGACTCTCCAGCCCCTTGAGGCCCCAAGATCTAAAGCTCCAATTCTGGTGGCGGGCTGTCCCAAGTCTGACCGGCTGCTCCACCACCAGTTACCATAAGGCATGTCCCGGAGCCGCTCGGAGCCTCAGTTTCCTCACCTGTCAATTGGGAATTACAAAGGTACCGGCTCTGAAGGGTGCTTGTGACGATTCCAGGAGACGGCACCATTAAAAAGCTTAACATGGTGCTCAACACACTTTTAAAAGTCCCTTTTCTTTCTAAGTCATGCCTGAGCATGGTGTTCCCAGGCAACAAGATGCACCTAATTGGCAGGAAACCAGAGTACCAGGTCCCTCAGAATTCAACAGTGTCAGGAATAAAAGCCTCATTAAAACTTCCTTTCAAACCCAACTTTCAAGAGAAACTCGCTTTAAGAAAAAAAAAAAATTGCTAAAGATGAAAACTCCAGTGGGAAACCAATTACTTACTTTGGTACATTTTGTTAATTACATTTTTTCTTTTGCTAAATTTATACTAAAAGATACCAACTTAACGACTGCAATTGGTTTCAGATAACAATATCTAACTACATCAAGTTTGGGCACAAACTAATTAGGGCAAGTGACAGTCTCTAAAGGGGTCCAAGTGACAGATGTCGAGAATTCTGATGTGCCAGCAAACACCCGCCCCCCGAGATTTACAGAGAGGACGCAGTGTGGGTACTTTTCCACAAGACGGTCTGTCTACATCACTCAGGCTGCTGTCTACTTGCCCACATCTGCAGCCTGCAACTTTCCTTACCGGCTTCCCCAGCGTCCTCTCTGGCAGCCCTTGCAACCGCCCCGCGGACGAGGTAAGGTGAGGATTAGCACGGCCATTTGAGGGATGGCGCACAGACACCTTCCCAGCTCACCTTCTCAGAGCGTGCTGTTCTGCATCTTGGGGCTACGTCCTGGAGTCTCTCCTCCCTCCCCACTTTCAAAGACGCCTCATTCTCTCCTTCCCCTCTCTTTGCTGACAATCCTAAACTCCCCTTTCCCAAACTCTAGATGTGTAGATTCAGCTGCCTTCTGGTTGGTTCCATTGGTCATCTCCAAAGTAGTGCCAATTCTGTGTCCAAATCTGTTCTCTTTGCCTCCCTGGCATGCCCCAACCCTGCCTCACCTCCAGGGTCACTACCTTTATGAATAACACCACTCTCCCCCCTGGTTGTTCAAGGTAGATATCTGGGCACTGCTCACATTCAATCCATCATCAAGCCCCATTGCTGCAACCCCACGAATGGTTCTTATGTCTCTTCCAGCTTTCATACCCACTGGCACTGATTCAGTGGAGAAAGCCAGCATCTCCCCTGGATTGGTCCCCCAGCCTCAAGCTTGTCCTTCTTCCATTCTTGACACAGTAGAGAGATTGTTCTAAAACTAGCAATATAATTATGTTGCTCCTCTGTTTAATAACCATCAATGGCTCCCTAGTACTGTGAAGATGAAGTGAAAACTCCTTAACTCAGTCTTTAAGTCCTTGCAGGATGCCTGGTTCCTCTCTAGCCTCTCATCTCACCGCCCCCAGCCTTACTTTTTCCTGATTCTCCACCCCTCAGCTCCCCTTCTCCCTCCACACCCCACACGTTCCTCCATTTCTGGTAATTTGTTCTCTTCTGCCCTTGTGTCTTTTCATATGTTCCTTCTATCTGGACGCCTCACCTTACCCTCCTCTGACCTACTTATATTCAACCTTTAACTAAGGCTCAAGAGTCACCTCCTCCAGGAAGCCCTCTCTGATCCCCCAAGCTGGATTTAGTTCTTCTCTCATTCCCACAGTTTTATGTTTATCCTCAGCATAGCATTTATCATACTTTGCTAAAATGTGCTCTGTCTTCCACCAGACAAGACAGAGTAGGGACCGTTGGTGGCTTTAAAATATGTCCACAAATTCTCTCATATCCCTTCCTGCAAAAAGCAGACCTTAATTCCCTTCCTCTTGATTTAGCGACTTGCTTCTAACAAACTGAACATGGTACAAGTGACAACACATAATTTCTGGGACTCGGTCACAAAGGCAATGGGGCTTCCAGCTGGCATGTTGTGAGGTCACTCAAGCAGCCTTTGGAAAGGCTGTGTGGTGAGGAACTGAGGCCTCCCACCAACAACCCCGTGAGTGCGCCACCTCGGGAGTGGATCCCCAGCCCGTCAAGCCTTCAGATGAGACTGCAGCCCTGGCCGACATCTTGACCGCGACCTCATGAGAGATCCTGAGCCAGCCCAGAACCACTCAGCTAGGCCACTCCCAAAGTCCTGGCCCTGGAAACTTGAGATAATAAATGTTATTTTAAGCCATTAAGGTTTTTTGGATAATTTGTTAACAGTAGGCATCGAGGGAAAGGCTCTTGCATGAATGAATGAGGGAATGAGTCGGGTAACTTACCACAGTCACATAACCAGTTAGAACCAGGCAGGAAGCTTTGCTGGGGCACTGTTTCTACTTTACCCCATCAGATCCCCCCAGTCTCACCGAGAAATCCAGCCACCTTTGCCTCCACAGACAGGTGCCCTGGCCCTTCCAAAAGCACCAAAGAAATGATAACTGCCCCTCGGCCTGGGCTGGGGCTCTGGAAGGACAGGGTGGGCCACCTACCCCAGTGCAAAGACGTCCGAGTGCTTGGAGAACGGGAGCTTGTCCTCCTCCGTGTCGGGAGACAGCTGGCGGATGATCTCGGGTGCGAGGTGGCACAGCCAGCCATTCTGGATGCGCAGCTTGTCCTCCCGCCTGGAGAAGCAAAGGACAGAGTGAGTGCCGTGTCACAGCCTGGCGAGGATCGGTCCCCCAGCACTGACCCCAAGTCCCTGGACCATCTCTGCTGGCTCTCTCACATCCCCCCAGCAGGTGCTGCTGACCTCGTACTTAAGGCCAAGAGCCGGTGTGAGGTGCCGGGAAGGCTGGTCTGGACAGACACTCAACAATCAAACCATCATCGGGACCCTCGGCCTCTGAGGCCCCCACTTCGCCATCTTCACTCCACGAACACAGCTGATTCTTGTCATTTGTGGTTCCATAAAGTCTCTGCAGACTCTGAATTAGCAAATGCCGAATCATTTGCTCCTAGAGGACATATGTATACACACAGACGTGCACACATTCGCATAGCTTATAATCCTAAAAACAACTTATTCTAGCCTACTCTGTTTTCTTTATTTTACACAAAAGAAATGAGGCTCAGAAGTGTTAAGTGACTTGCCCAAGGCGACCCCACTACCAGGTGGCAGAGCCGTAAAACCCCATCCAGCTGGCTGCAGAGTCAAGCTTCCTGCGCTGCACTGCCCTCCCCCTTAGGTCTCCAGCTCCGGTCACCTCTGTATGAGAGCTAAAACAAGAAGGCAGAGCATCCTCTTGTCCCACCCTGGATGGGAACATGCCATGTCAAGTGGCTCAAATTTTCACCATCCTGTACATGCCCATGAGTGACTGCAAATGTGCCATGAGTATTGATTTGGGGGTTATAGATAAATTTTAGTGAGTAGGTGAATTAGCAAATATGGAATCCGCGTATTATGAGGATTGACTGTATTTGTGACGCATCTACTACGCTTAGGCTCTGTTCTCAGCACGGGGAACACAGCAGTGAACAGGACCTACACGGCTCCTGCCCTCCTGGGGCCTGCACCTTGCTTGGGGAAGGCGACAACAGATGAATTAAATAAATAGGAAAAATATAGCTAGTGATAAGTGGTATAAAAAATTTAAATACGGGAATGTGTCAAGGAGAAGAGGGGGCTTCCTTTAGGTAAAACGTGAGTTAAGATCTATGTGACATAAAGGATCCAGCCATGAGAACAAGGAGAAGAAGACAGTGACACGTGACTGTATTCTAGGCAGAAGGGACAATTAGGACAAAAGCTCAAGGCAAGCCCTGTTTACGGTGTTCTAGAAACCTAAAGAAGGCCAGTGTAATTGCCACACATCGTGCCATCCCATGTGCCTATTAAAATGTATACAGCCAACCCTTTGTTGATGGGCCTTAGGCGGTCCCCCCTTCACCACTATATATGATGCTGTGATGAACATCTGTGGGTAGGTGCTGTGAATATATCCCTTCACCGGCCTCTATGATTCTTTCTTAGGATACATTCCTGGAAGAGGAAGGATGCTGGCTCCCTTCTTCACACTGGAAGTCTTCAGCAAGTCCACGGCTTTTCATTTGGGACTGAAATCTGAGCAGACCTCCTATGAGGCTTCCATGGGTTCAAGACTCCCAGGAAAGGGCCAGTCAACACAGGGAAAGTGGGAAGGAGTGGGATAGGGAGACGGAGATCTCGAACCATCAAGAGCGAAATCGTGAAGGACCAGCGCCTCCAGCACGTGGAGACCCGCTGGGGACCTGGGGCTGGCTGGCTGGGGCTGTTCCTCCAGGGTGGGCTTCTGAGCTACACGAGGTGCGATGCTCTGTTCCTTTCACGCACTCACTCGTGTCCTATAATCATGATTCTTGCCCTATCTGAACACCTTCCAGAGCAGCGTGATCCAAGAGAACTTTCCACGATGATGGAAATGTCCTCTGTCTGTGCTGCCCAATACGGCAGCCCCTAGCCACTGTGGTTACTGAGGATGCAAAATCCGGCTAGTGCCACAGAAGAACCGAACTTCTAACTTTATTTAATTTTAAATCAAGTTACAATTGTATAGCCACATGTGGCTGGTGGCTACCATATTGGACCGTGCTGCTTGGACTGTTATTTACTACAAATGGATTTTTTCACTAATATATATATATATATTTTAAACACGACTATAAATGGAAACGAGCACTGTTTTAGTACACATTCAAATGAAGATGAACAACGTTTGTTCACGTGCTCCCTGAAGTCGCCTTGCGGATGACACCTGCAGGGAGCAGAGAACCCTGACGAGACAGGCTCTAGGAGTTTGGCGTGCTGGCTTTTGCTCTGGATCATTCTTTGTGGTGGGGGCCATCCTATGCACTGTAGGGGGCTGAGCAGCATCCTTGGGCCACCACCCACCAGATACCAGTCGCACCTCTTCCCTTGTTGTGACAACCAAAAATGTCTCCGGGCATCACCAATGTCCCCGGGGGGCAGGAGAGCCCCGACCAAGAATCACTGTTCTAATTTATACATAAAATAAGGAAATGTCCCAATTTCAGTCTGTCAGCATTAGGAACATGGCTCTGTACAGCAGACCTGATAGAACACATCCTCTGCCAGAAAGTAGGACTCAAGTCCATTAACAAGCCCTTGAGTTGGCAGGGTCCAGAGAGTTCTTGCTTCTAGACTTGGGGCCACCTGCAGGGGTTTAAGGACCCACCTGTGGCTTACTAGCTATGTGACCTTGAGCAGAGCCGAGTCTCCATTTTCCCATCTGCAAAATGGCCACACAGCCGGCACAAAGATGAAAAGGAGACAATGCAGGTTGTGGGGCTGTGTCAGCTGCCAGGGCCACACGATTAGTGGACAGAATTATTACGTGTGGATATTTTTTTATCTTGTGGACTCAGAAATGGAGTTGAGACTAGAGCCCCAAGAAAGAATGTCATCCAAGAAAGTGGGGCCGTGGCCTGGGCCAGCCGATATTTCCCTGCATGCCCAGGCCAGGGGGGTGGGGCGGCATGGGGTGGGAAGCTCTCGCCAAAAGGACAAGCTTCTCAGTTCCCATCTCCTTCAACTTCCCCTGCTGCCTCTTCCTGACTCGCTGGGTCAGCGGGGGTTTGGAATCGCAGGGCCGGACCAGGAGGAGGAATGGTGGCCACTCGACAACCATCAGCCTGGGGCGGGCATGGGCACACGCCTGGGAGGGGGCAGGAGTCAGACCTGGCACAGACACCCTGGGGTGTCCCATTCCCATGGTGATGGGCCCACCAGTGACTAACCCACATCATCCTCATCATGGTTATTATTATGATTAATAACAGCCTGCGGGTGGCTGGCATGATAGAGCTGGCATCTCAAATGGCACCTTTTCTTGACGATGGCAGAAAAGCTGTTTGCTCGCAACGCCGCGGACGGGCTGGGGGAAGCCCTGGCATCTGTTAGGATGTTCAGGACCTGCTCACCTCACTGCGCAACCCCCACCCTGCCCCAGCCTGGCAGATCTCCCCCGATGGGCACCCAGTGCCATCAACACCCCAAGCTCTCACTGAGGGGAGGGCAGGAAGGCAAGTAACTCCTGCTGAGCCCCTACTGTACGCCAGGTTGTGCATCCCACTTAATCCTCACAAACCTGCGATCAGATGGATATCATCTCTATTCTACAGATGAGGACACAGAGTCTCAAATCACGTAAGTGACCTGTCCAGAGCCACAGAGGCCATAAGTGACAGAGCTAGATCTGTTTGACTGCAAGTCTTTAAAACCCCAGAGACTAGCCTCCTAACCACAATTCTACACTAACTCTTGGAGAAACAGTATCATTAAGGGGAAAATTCTAAACGAAGGCCCTTACATCAAAGCACAGGAAGCCACTAATGGCTTTGTGGTAGCCGAGAAAGGTGGATTTCTGCTGGAAGCTGTCTCTGAGGGCTCCCTGGCCTCTCACGACACTAGTGGGGTTTGTGTTGACAACCAGGCTGGAGCAGGGGCGGGGCAGGGGTGCTGTGCGGGCAACGGGGCTGGAAACCCCCGTGCCCTTGACTTGAACTCCCTTCCTGATTCACACTGGGCCTCTGGGAGTGAGTGAAGGAAAAGATGCTCATGTCATTCCATTTCCTTTTCCTCTTCTTCTCCCTGTGGCTTCAGAAAACCATGAATCAAAAGGAAGAAAGTGAGAGGCTTTGCGCCCCTTTCCTCCACTTGGGGAAGAATCCCCCACAAGGAGAAATGGAAAGTATGGACACGCCACCAGAAGGGAGAAATCTGATTTTTTTTTTTTAAAAGATACTTGAACCAAGTTAAAGAAAACACCTGCTGGACCTCTTTTTGTCTGGACACAAATAGTTGAGTTCATAGTGATGTCACCAACTGCTGCTCCCTGTGGCCTTAGCCTACAGCAGCGGAAGGACGGGAACAGGTGAGCGAGCGATTCCCCGAACATCAGTGCTGCTGGGAGGCAGCAGGAGGAAAGAACTGGCAGGGTCCAGCCCTCCTGCTTCTTGGGTGCAGACCTGAGGGACCCTCTCCATCTATCTATTCATTGATCTAGTTGTTTCTTTACTGCCTTCTTATTTTCTTATCTTTGGTACTGTAGATTTGGAGACTGAATTTTTTTGGATGGAGTAAAATCTGAAAAAGATGCGTCAGCTTCTGTTTGTCACTGCATCTCGCAGAAACAGCTAGGTCAAGTTGTGCCAAATTTCGGATGGTCTGGCTTAGATTCAAGGTATCATAGAGCGTGAACAAAATTCACTTTCCGGGGGCCCTGGGGTGCACCTTAAAGAGATCCGTGGTTCTCCAAAGCAGCTGAAACTGAAGTCAAATGAGAGAAAGCATGGGGCTGCCTTTCTGGAGAGGCGCACCATTCATTATTAGGGGCGTGATCAGAGAAAACACGCAAGGTTTAAAGTTTGCATGAGTGTGTGTGTGCGCGCGCGTGTGCATGAACGACATACACATTCCAAATTAAAAATCGCAAAGGGTAGACTTTCTGAATATGGCTTGTTTATTTGGGATCAAGCTGTTTTTCACGAGGTCAACTCAAGGCGGCTTGCTCTAGGGTGAGTGGTGGCTGAGAGTTAATTACTTAATGATGGTTAATGATTCTCCTGAGTGAGACTGGGGAGGTATATGCAAATTAATACTAACTACAACAGCTCAGCAGCAGCTACCATTCCCAGCGTTTCCTGTGCTCCAGGCGCTGGGCTGGATGTGATTTTATTTTATCCTCACGAGGACACTACAACCCTTGGGCGTCATCGTACCCATCATTTTTCTCGCAGGCGAGGAAACTAAAGTTCAGAGGAGTTCCACGCCTTGACTAAAGTCATGGCTAATAAGTGGCAGAGCCAAGCAGGGCCCCCGGGTGGGTCTGACTTTAAATCACTTGCTCTGTTAATCACTCTTGCTGTACTAAAATTAATGAATTCATAAGAAAATTCTGAGCAAGGCCATCTTGGGCGATCCCAACTCCCAGGTGCGTACTTGGACTAAGTGAAGAGTCCTCCAGTGAAACTCAAGGGCAAGGGCTTTGCAGGATTTGGGGATGCTCTGTGTCCGCTCAAAGGTGCCATTTGCAAGACAAGCCCCTTTGGAATCAGAGAATGACCTGGGCATCAGCGCCGCATTGTCAGCAGAGCAGCCTAGCTGCTCAGCTAAGCGACCTTCGACCCAACTACCGAGTCCAGGTCACTAAAGCCATTTAGTGACTTTTCACCCCCTGAGGGTCATCTATCATGAACCCTCCAGGCCCTTCCACCACCTCTCACCTGCCAGCCTGCAGCACCCCGGAAATGCTGAAGAGCCCAAAGTCCGTGATCACCACTTTGCCGTTGTCGTAGAAGACATTCTTCGACTTGAGGTCCTTGTGGAGAATTCCCTTGGCGTGGAGGTAGCCCATGCCCTACAAGAAGCAAGGACACAGGGAGTCGCCAGAGAAAACCCAAGTGCTAGCTGCCATCCTGGCTTGGGTTTACGGTTCACACTCCGTCCCTTTCCATTGAGACCCCACTGAACAGCTGCAGAGCTGGGGACGTGCCCCAGGGCTTGCAGGCGGCATGGGAGAAGGCTTGGCAAGTGGCAACAGGGAGGGTCCCCAAGAAACAATTCTGCCACCACCTTCGGACTACTGCAAACCATCTCCATCCTGCTCTCCTGCTTCCTGAAGAAGAAACAAAGGAAGATGTCTCTAGAGGGAAAAGGGAAGCGACAGACCTGACAAGAGGTCCCCAGAGAAAGGAATTCCATCGACCATCTTTCCCTACTTCTTCCTCTTTGAAAAATAACTCCTCGCAGGAGACCGTTCCTTATATCAGCTTGACCCACCCCACCGCAGAGCGCGCTGCGTCCCTCAAGAGGTGGACCACGACCCCACAATGAGGAACATGGACAGGAGTCTCCTGGAGGTCTGGCTCCAGGGTGAATGTCTCTATATTTGTTTTGCTTTTATGAGCAGTCACATTTTTATTTCTTCTTGTAGCTCAGTCCTGACACTTCCAATGGGAAATAAAAGCCTGATCACAACTGACTAATGAGGTACCCGCGAGAAAACGCAGAATGTTCTTGTTTGTTTTAATCCCAGACAACACCCAACAATTTGACATTTCCCCAGAAGCTGCGGAGAGAGGTGGCTTGTACGCATGGGGATTCAAGGATTCAAGGGGTGCGGGATTCTAACAGTGAGAACTTCCCCCCGCTCCCTGTAAACATCCAATTATGATGATGAGGCACCAGATGGAAACCAAACATTGGTAGATCAGCCCCGATGGTTGTATTTCTGCAAAATTCTTACATACACACAGCCTGGTATTTTTCAGATAGAGTCTGATTTTTTTCAAGCCCAGACTGTTGGTCTGAAGCCAGACCATGGGTCTCAGGAGGGGCTGGGTCGTTCCGAGGTTCAGGGAGGAGGCCCCAGACCCCATCGTACCTTCACGATTTCTTGGGCAATTTGCCTTGTTTTGTTGACATCCAAGACGATCTTGGCGTCCCTCACCACAGAATAGAGTGTCCGTCCCTTGCAGAGGCTAAAAAGCAAAAGGACAAGATAAATTCTTGGCAGTTGTTAAGAAGAAGGTGACCACAACGACAGTTGTTAGAAGTGACATAGAACAGAGGGGACACGTGGCCACGCCACTATTATGCCTATGAGATAATAAGCCTGCGGCTGGACCTCAGAATTGGTTCTGGGATGCGGGGCTGGGAGCAAGTGTTCTGAGGGTCTTCCGGACCTTCCTCAACACCCTCCAGCATCCAAGGATGCCCACAGACTCCAACCTGGTCCAGAAGTAGGTTCGCCACACTCCCTCTGCTCCAGGTCGCACAGATGGAAAGCTGTGCATAAACCGACAACTTCAGGGGTCCTCAGATACCACTCAGACAGCACTCTGCTGGCCACTCGTCCCAGCTGCTCCCACTCGCCAGGAGCTGCTGGTGTGTGGGGACAGTGATGAAATACCAGCAAAGCAGTGGCTGACGGGTACTAAGTACCATCAGCAAATGATGCATTCAAGCCTTTAGACAGGGGCGTGTAAACACCAATACTCCCCCAACCAGACACCTGTCTAGATAGAGGGATTTCCAACTCTTTTCAGCCTCATTGAGCTCATTTCGAGGACCAGTGGTTTACGATGAATGACAAGAGGAAAACGGACATTATGCAGTGACAGTAACACCTCCTCATCTAGAAGCCTGCATGCTCATCCATCCTCCTCCTCTGAAGTAAGCCCAGTTTCTGGCACACACAGAGCACGCCCTCAGTAAAGTCACCGAAGGAACAAGTGAATGAATGAATGAATGAAGGAATTCTAGAGTCACCGTTCCTAGCCCCTAGCACTGTGTCTGGCTCATAGTATCCAACGTTGGTTGCAAGAAGAAGGGATGATATTAGGAAAGTTCATTTTCCATGGATGTCAAAATAATGGATTGAATTTTTCGTTTAATCTGACTTTATTGCTAAAATACTCCAGGCCTTTTATTCGTTCCTTTAGTATTTATTGAGCCCTTGTTGGATGCTAGAGTTAGCCAAGATCCTGTAGTTGAAACCAGAACTCTGGTAGCAGAGGGATCTCAGTTTAAACCCCAGCTCTGTACCTTCCTTCCTTCTTATGTGTCTTTTGGTGGGTTCCTTAACATCTCTGGGCCTCAGTTTCCTCATCTACCAGATGCAACTAATGATATCCACCTTGTAGAGTTAGTATGAGTAATGAATGAGAGAAAGTGTTCGGCACCATGCCTGGCACCTGGTGGGAAGCGTGCACAGTGGTCAGGAGAACAGAGGCCTAGAGTCAGACTCTGGGTTAGAATCCTGGTTTGTCAGTTAGTGACTGTGTGACCCTGGGCAGGTGAATTAACCTCTCTGAGGCTCAGGTTCTTTGTCTGTAAAATGAGGCCAAGAGTTCCTGTGTTCTAGGGTTATTAGGAGAATCACATGAAAGCTGGTGTGTGCAGGTGTAGACATCTCTCTGTGCTAACACATAGCGAGTCCTCATGAAATGCTGGCTATGCTGAGAGAGAGTCAATGATCAGTCAAATGGTAGACATACACACAAACTTGTGCAAATATATATAAATCATAAATTTATACACAGATCACTTCTATTATCCATCCATCCACCACCCCAAATGCTATGTATAACTGCCCATGATCTTTGACTAAGATCCTTTCCTTCACCTGCTGAAGGTGAGCGGCCCAGAGTAGCTGACTCACAGGGAGTCTGATTCACCTGTCCAAGGTCGCCCTGGAAGTTGGAGGGTGGCAGCCACGATGACTCAAGGCTGTCCCCGCCTTGCTGTCCCAGGCAGGGTGTTTGCTGTGGCTGCTGGAGGAGCGGTGGAGGTGGGGTGGTCTGCACAGCCAATTAAACCATATTGACATTTAAATATTCTGGATGGCAGAGACCGTGGGTGGATTCCCTCCTCTGGATCCTTCGTTCTTGAACAGCCACCTACACTCATTACAGGCCAGAGCCCAGAAAATACCATGCCCACTGCGGGTGGCAGAGCAAACGATCGCTCAGGCTCCAAGACTCCCAGAGACTTCTGCTTAAGGTAACTGCACATGGGTCACAGGTTTCCAATGTCCATCCCTGTCGTCTTCTTTCCCTGCTCACATCCTCCTTTCCAGCAGCAGCTGCTGAAGTCTTTGCTTCTCTCACTACCCTATGGCGTCTGCAGTCATGGACAAACTAACACTGACAGGGCTATAAATTGGTAGGACCACAGCTTGGCACATCTACTAAACACACAAATACACAAATAACCCACAACCAGCAACTCTTCCCCTAAGTACGTACCCAGCAGGCATGCATACCCATGGTCACCCACAGACATGTACTAGAATGTTCTAGAATGTTAATAGCAACACATTCATAATAACCCCAAACTAGAACCAACCCAAATGTCCATCAACAGAAAAATGGATAAATGTGATATATCCACATAAACTATATTCATACTGTCCTCTAGAATAATAAACTATTGCTAACTGCAGAGGACATGATGTTCATAAACATAATGTTGAGGAAAAGACGCCAGACACACAAGACTCACACTGAATGATTCCATTTCGATAAAGTGCAAAAGCAGACAAAACTGATCCATGTGCAGAAGTGAGCATAATGGTGACCCTTGAGGAGTGGGGAGACTGGAAGAGCCATGAAGGGAGCTGGGGGCAGGTGATGACCTGTGTTTTGATTTGGGTGCGGTTACATAGGTGTATATTTAGTAGAAATTCATCCGGCTGTGTTCTGGAGCTGGACACTTTGGCAGGTATGCTATTCTTCCAAAAAAAGGTTGACTTTAAAAAAACCAGCAAGGAAAGGATGAACAATTAATACAGTGTTGAAATTTAAAAGAAAATCTAAACCAACTCTGACAGCCCAGGTATCCTTCTCTGAACTCTTCACGCAGTCCCGACAGGCAGTGTCGACAGAGGAGTTAGGGGCTCTGGGCCTGGCTGCGCCCACCAGGTGTTGATGGGGGGCTGAGCTGGACGGCAGGTGCGGGGCAAGAATGAGCTCTAAGCAGGGGTGGGCATTAGGCAGGTGACCAGGGTGGCTGAGGCTTGGAGAGTCCAGGCTAGTCAGTCCAAGTGTCCATGGCAACCGCTCTGAGTGGGAATTTCTGTGGCTAACAATGGTGCCCTAAAAACCACTTGCAAGGGGGAAGGGAGGGGAGGAGAGCATGAGCGTTTACTGAGCACATGCATAGGCCCTAAGTCACCTCCAGGAATCTTCCAGCAACCCCGCAGGGCCCACATCATCACCCCCATCCTATGGTGAGGATATGGAGACTCAGAGGGGCAAAGGACCTGCTCACGGACACACAGCCGTGACGTCAGCCTGTTTCTGATCCTTCTCTCATCCTTGCCCCCACAGTTAGGGTGCCCAGTTATTGGACATGATTTTCGGGCCATGGAAGAGACACGCAGCCAAGGGAGCCCAAATCCCCGCTCTACCATTTACTATTTGTTGGGTGACCTCAGGAAGTGACTTTGACCTCAGTTTCCTCATCTGTAAAATGGTCACAATACCAGCTAACGTACTGAGGACTTTCTATGTTCCAGGCGCCAGCCGACGCAAAAGAGCCCCATGAACTGGGTATTCTCGCTGTATTTCATCAACTCCAAGACACACATTTCTGCACATTTTAACATCTCTGAGATCAGAACACATCTTGCATTCGTTGACAGACCATGGTTTCATAGGCACTGCATTTCTGTTTCTGTAGTTCATAAAATAAAGGGAGCATATTCCAACTAATGGCGTCTTAGATTTAATGACGTCTGGGATCAGCCCCATTTTACAGATGAGGGAACTGAGGCTCAGAGGGGTCAAGTGGAGCTGGGGTTTGAACCCAGGCAGCCTGACTCCAGGGCATATGCTCCTAATCCCCATCTTTTGCTTCTTAACAACCTCCTCTGAGACTCCGCACGTCACAGGCCCTCAGTAAATGGCAGCTGTAATGTCACTCCTAACATCTCCCATGGCAGTGAAGATGAACGAGGTCGGCTGGCCTGGGAAGCAGGCGGTCTGGAGGTGAAGAGAAGGGGTTTGAGTGGCTCAAGGATATATTTAGTATTTCTCTAGCTTCTGGGGCAGGAGGCACGTGCGCACGCGCGCGTACACACACATACACACACACACGCACACACACATCCCTCTTGGTATCTCTTTCCACAACAAAGATCTGCTTTTTCCAAGAAGAGGAGCAAGGACTGGGAATGTCCATCTTATCTGCAGGCCACCATCTCTCTCGGCCCGGGCCCCGGGCAGCTCACATAAGGCTGGCCTTTGACCCCCACATCCCAGGGGACACAGCGAGCCTTTTGGCCCAGATGGCACTGCAGGTGTAAGAAGTTTGTTGTAATCCAGCCCAAAGGAGCTTGTCAGAAACAATGAGATAAAACCATCTAGAAGGTTTGTCTCTGAGGGCATCTGTCCAAACTGGCTCATTCTGTCAAAACAGTGCTGGGACCGAAGTCTGGGCACCTGTGGCAGCCACTTCCTTTCCCTCCTCCAGATCCCTCACTGCCAAGCCGCGTGGCCCAGGCCGGTGGGAATGGTGTATTGTGGGGAGGGGTGGCTGGGGGGATCGCCTCTGAAGACTGACAGACCGGCTCCCAGCCCAGCTCTGCCACCTCGGAGCCCACATGGCCTTGGGGACTCACTGGGCCTCCTGGGGGCACAGTGTCTGCATCTGTAGCCACGGGTGGGTTGGCTAAATAATGGTCCCCATTAGATGCCCACATCCTAATACTCAGAAATGGTGCATATTTACCTTACATGGCCAAAGAGACTTTGCCGATGTGATTAAATTATGGCTCCTGAGATGGGGGGATGACCCTGGGTTATCTGGGTGGGCCCGGTGCAATCACAGGGTCCTTAAAAGTGGAGGGGGAGGCAAAAGAGAGAGGCAGAGGGAGACCTGAGTGCGGAAGAGGACGTCGGAGTGATGGGGTGCGTGAAGCACTCAGCCAATCACAGCCGGCTTCGAAGGTGGAGCAAGGGGCCATGAGCCAAGGGAT